TGTCTCTCTAACTCCTCCCCCTTCTCTTCACTGAAGCGCGTGTGCGTGTGTGTGTGTGTGTGTGCGTGTGTGTGGGGGGGGGGGGGGGGGGGGGCGGTGGTTGACAAGCCAACTGTCCTTGGTGATTTGGAAACCTTTGGCTTCACAATCCACCTGTAAAGTTGCTTTCTTGTTTTGCTGTCAAACAAGAAATGAGCGCGCCGCTTCCTCAGATGACTCGAGGAAGGAATCGGACTCCCTCACAATGCTATATTTTGGCACCGATGACAGAATTCTTACAAATCTGTAGATGGAAAACACTGGGGGGGGGGGAGGCTGGAAGGGACAGTTGCGTTTTCTGATGCAACCATACTGACTGGATGGCCTTCAAGCTCCTCGTGCCACTTCTGACACCGAACCGCCGTTGTGGCCTTCGTTCGATACCGCTTTTTTTTTTTCAGACCGATCCCAGTCCAAGTAATCACTCCGAGTACTCGTCTTTACAGAGGACGGATACCACGAGCGCTTTTGTCAACATTTCAAGTCACGGAGAAAAAAATGGAACACAATGACTTAAAATTGTGAGCCAAGAGCTTTCCTTCGGACACAAAATGATTCACTGACGTGCCAAACTGGTGCCGTATGGCACCAACTACTGCTGAGGAGGACTTACTTGATTTGGATCGAATCGGCAGTAGCCGATACCTTAAAACAAGGCCGCTTTTGGCCCGATGCCAGATACCCGATATTGGTGTACTGGTCCATCCCTAATCAAAACCACACTGAGTAAACAGTTTTTTTTCCCTGCTCAAGAAAACTTGTGTTTTTCTTGAAAACCGATGACTTAATCCTTTGACTATTTTGCCTCTTTGAAGCTTGACATTGTTTTCAGCTCCGCGGGCGCTTGAATATGGGGCTCAAGCCTGTATCATTCTGAATGGCCCTCAAACTCTCCAAGGCCAAAGTGAGAGAGACTTCTGAGTAGCCACAAGAAAAGAGAAAAAAAAAAGTAAAGAAGGCATCAGATCCCAGTTTTAAGAAAAGGGCGGCGGTGGGGGTCCATTTTGTGGAGAGACAGCGCAAGCTTCATTGTTCCTGGGAGTGAAGACGCCCGAGGCGAGCGTTGAAGAGCAGAGTGGGGCGGGACCGTGTCGACTTAAATGCCCTCGGTGGAAATGCGCCGCGGCTTCTTGGTTTTTATCATCAGGTGCCTGACTGGTGCCGGCGAACGGCAAAGCCAAGCTCCGCGTCAAACACGCGCATCACAAGCTCATGTTGTCCTCTCTCCATTTTATCTGCAACAGCCGACTATATAGGGATTATTATTTTGGCGGTATAAATACGCATTCAAGGCTCTGAAATTGTGAAATGCAAAACAAAAGTCAATCAAGTCTCCTTAATATGCAACATTAAAAGGAACACAGACATCTGATGGGTTTTTTTTTTCTTTGGTATTTTTTGTGTTACTTGATATTTTCTCTTAAAACAAACACACACATTTCTAATTTTATTAAAATGATTCTATCGCATTATAATAATTAATCTGCTGCTGGTATGTCATATTTCATCTTTGTACCCAAGTGTCCTTGGGCATTTTCAAACCTTTCAAATATGTACTGTACACGGTGACGATGTTGAAGTTTCAACCATTGCATTTATTTTACAACCAAAGACAAAAATAGCATCATTGCAAATGAACAGGATCAACCTCAGGGGGGAAAAAAAAAAAAGTTGAGAATTCGGTTCTTTTTTTTGTTGTTACGAGTGCTTTTGTGTAAACCACATTTGAGGGGGAAAAAATTAATGAAACAAAATCTAACTTTATACACTTTCAGCCATCTTTTGTCTAGAAAATAACATTATAAAAATTCACACAGTACAAATAATGTGGAATTGGAACAAGCAAGATATGCCGACACGCATCCGCTTGCTGATTATTCATACAGTAACTTCATTTTACAACGCTTACCCAACTAATGCAAATACTGTACAATTTCAAACAATTCAGTTGATACTTTGTTTTTTTTTGCTGTTTTTAAAGCAGCCGTGTTTTTTTTTTCTTCATCATTCCTTCCCATCTCTTTAAATAGCTGGAATGCCAATTTTAGAGCATTCATTCAAATGGCTGTCAATTATTTAAAAAACAAAAAAACCAAACAAACATTGGAGCTCTCCTTATTTGCCCGCAACTTTACATTAAAACATGCACAAACAATCTCATAAATAATACGCGAGTTGACCGTGACAGAAGCAGGGGGAGCGCCGGTCCAGTTTTAAAACAACA